AACATAGGAAGATTTGTGTGAATAACTTTTCTTTCAGGCCAAATGTTATTAATTTCGAAGAAAATGTATGTAAAACTTTCCATGGAGTTATTAAACTGAAGTATTTTATTCATGTGTTCAATTTGTCTTGTTTTCATGTCCAATGAGAAGACAGATAAAAACCATGCGTGGTTTTGATATGTGATCCAAAACACGTGTGGCTTTCATATGTGTTTTCACTGGGCATCGATACTCACGCGCATGAAGAATTTAGCCATTCTTTATTGGCTATCGAACTTATGAATTATTAATGAATTATTATTATCATTATTATTATTATTATTATTACTATGTCTGTCTTTCTTTTAGAATCGGAATGCTGTAGTTGAAAAGCTTACATTTCAAAAATTTTCCGTTAAGTAGCCCATGCTTTCGAAAACGAATTTTAAGAGAAGAAACAATGCTTTCACGTGAAATAAGTTTGCATCATCTTGGCCAGGTACCAGTCAATGGTTGCATTCTAAGAAAACGCTCGAAGAAATGTAACCAATAAAAAAATGTCCAAATATATTTTCAGTTTTAGTTCAGACTGAGAAAATAACCATTCAAAATCTGTATAATTATCATTATAAATCTGTATAAAAGTGTGTAAATCTGATTACTATTTTTTTCTGTGAGGAAAAAGAAAATGGTTTCCGAAAAGACGTCTCATTAGCGCACAGTATCAGACGCCTAATTCCTGATCTGGAGCTGCAAAATCAAATTTATCTCCGGAAATCTTAAACATTCATCGGATCGAAGTTAGAGAAATAATTTTAGTAACAGTTCTTCTGACTTTTTCTTTGAAATTGTTTTTTTGCTATTGCAGACCTCTGGTTGATATTTACAGACATGCACACTTAATTATGTATGACAAACATTTCCTTTCCTCTTTTTTAAAAGAAACCCAGCTGGATTTGAGTTTTTCTTTTTGCCATAAAGCATAAGAAAAGTATTAATTAAACAAAAATATGTCGGGATATGCATCTCCTAAGCTGAACTACCGCGGGTCATCATCCCAACAGCTCCTTCCATGCGTGTCAACCACGGGTGCAATTACGGCGAGACTACACTTTCCCCTGCTTTTAATAGGACACCTAAATCTCTCGTTTGCCTATGTAATTCCATTTTTCGATTAATACCCTTGGCTTATGTAAGATGTGAAGTCAGCTTCACAACTAAACCCACGAGAGCGTTAGACATAAAGTATTGGAAGTCACGTGATCGACGTTTTGAGTCAGCCTGGAAAACCAGTTAAGTCATGTAGCTAGGCATGAATTTGTTCTTCAAGTATGGATCATAATAATAGTAATAAAACTCTTACCTTACCTAGCAGTTGAGCAGTATCTTATGAAGAGTCAACAAAGCACGTAATGTTTGGGGAAGGAAATTTTCATCTGACGTGTCACTTGTGAATCACAGATATCTTTCTCCTTACACGAGCAGGTTGTCGACAAAAAAATGTCATGTATATTGGGTTGAGAGACAAATTTTGACCAATGATAGATCGACAAGTCCTCAGAGCTCATAAGATTTGTTTGTTTGTCTGTTTAAGATTTAAACGAGCTAAAACTTGAAAGCGCAAGTTTCTTTACAGCTGTGAAGGTTGGTAGGTTATTTTGAAAACACTTATAAATTGACTTTCTTAAATGTTATCGTTTTCAACTTATTTTAGATTGATATAACTCAAGATAACTTTATCTGATCTTATACATATTTATCAGTGGGCTCTCGAGTTTTCTTATCTTAGGGTTTGTGCTGTTCACGGTTTTGTTTTTACCTTACTTTTCACATGAACAAAATTTAGACATTTTTAGAAATCTCTGTTTACCAGAACGAGTAATTGCTTAGAAAATTTAAGTTAAATGTTTCAACAGCGCCACACCCGTTAGCTTCACGAGAGTACCCACTGATTAGTTACAAAATGACCGTAGACTAGTTGAACGACAGTATGGTTAAATCCAGTGTAAACTTGATTTTTTCCTTTGAAAAAACTTGTTCTCCTAAGGAGTGCTCTTTTTTTTCGTTGAAGCATTAAGCGTCGGCCTTTCTTTCGTACATACATAGTTACTTGTCACAGGAACAAAATTTAGATATATTTCAAATCTCTTCTCATTAGGATCATTATAAAGGGGTGCTATTTCTTAAAAAAATATAGGCTAAATGGGCCCCACACCCGCCAGTTTCATTAGAATTCCCCTGAATAGTTAAAAAACTACTTTAGACAAGTCGAAGGACAATGTGATCAAATCCAGTGATTGGGTTGATCGTGTCGCTGTACAGTTGACAATATATGAGCTCAACCACCACTGTTCACCATCATTCTCTCAGTAGAATCATAATTCTTTTTCCAAGACAAGACAACTACATTTCTTTGTTTCATAATTCAATTGTAAATATCCCTGGTCTATCTACGATAACCTGTCCGGTCAGCAACACTATGGGAACCATGACAGCCTTAGACATAGAGTACTGGAAATCACGTGATCGCCTATCAGACTTTTTTCCGTCGGCGAGCCTGTCAACCAACACATTTCATCAAGTAAACCATTAGGTTCTTCTTCAAGTATGTATCATGTAATAATGAGAACATCTCACGGATCCTACAGCCCTACAACAATCGAGCCGTATCCGTGAAGGATCAATAATGCACGTCATGTTTGGAGAGAAATTTTCATCTGACATGTCACTTGTGATCCGTAAATATCTTTCTTCTTACACTAGAATAGGTTTTCCATAAAAGACGTCATCGGCTAGCAAGTCGACCAATGATAGATCGACACGTCATCCGCCCCCAACTCTGATCTTTTAAGCATGATTAAGCAGCTCCCTTAGATAAGATTTGTTTCTTTGTCTGAAAAGGTGTAAAACAAATCAAAGCTTTAAAGCGTTTTAATTTCTGAACAACTCTTATGGTTGGGTGAAATCATTTGGAAGGCACTCATAAATTGACCTAAGCAGATGTTATTTTGTACGTAACTTCTTTTAGATTTACATAACTTACGATAACTTTTTATGATCTCACTATAACATATGCGCTCTCGTGTTTTCTTATTGTAGGGTTTGTGCTATATATAAAGAGTTAAAAGTTTTGTCTTTGTGGAAGGTAAGTTTAAACATTTTTTCCACGGATTTCTCATTGTTTCGTATAATCATGAAACAGCCTCGCCCTTCCTGTGGTATATGCATATGTGCTTGTCATGGGAACAAAATTTAGAATTTTTATAAATCCCTATTTATTGGGATCATAACCAGAACGAGAAATTTCTTTAAAAAAAATTAGGTTAAATGTTTCAACATGAGCCACACCTGTCAGTTAAATTAGATTTCCGCTGAATAGTTACAAATTAAATGACGCTAGACACGTCGAACGATATGGTTAAATTCAGTGTAAAATCGCTTTCTCCTGTGAAATGATCAGAGCGCGAGTAAAGGTAAATTGCATTGGCCCTCTTCTTAATTATGTATAACAAGCATTCCAACTCCTCTCTTTCGAAAGGATTTCAATTGGAATTGACTATTTTAGTTGCGCAGTTAATGATCTTTTAGAAACTCTTTGGTTTTTCCTCTGTTTTAAACACACCACTCCTACATTTATTCGTTTCTCTTATAATTGCATTATTCGACTGCAAATATTCTTGGTCTATCTTGACCGATATACTTGATAGATATAATATCAGGGTTTTTTTGTGTCCTTGTGGCAAACTACACATGTCATGAAACTAGAGATTGAGCCGGTTCTTCCTCAAATATCACTTACATATAAACCTCTTTTTATTGCTGGCAATCAAGCACTTTCTTGATGAAGAATCAACAATGCATGTAATGTTTGGAGAGAAGTCTTCATCTGACGTGTCACTTGTAATCCGTAGACATCTTTCTACTTGCGAGCTGGTTGTCAATTAAGAATGTCATTAGCTAATTTGCTAATTAGCAAATTGGCCAATGAAAGATCGTCAAGCCTTCCGACCCTAACTCAGATCTATTTAGAGTTGTTAAGTAGTTACCTTAAATAATGTTTGTTTGTTTGTCTGTTAGAGCTTAAAACGAGAGAACTGAGCTCGAAAGCGTAAATTCCTTTAAAACTATTAAGGTTGGCGGAATCATTTTGAAGTCACTTATAAATTGACTTTCTTAAATCCATTATTCTATTTTTTGTGTCCTTGTAGCATGCCAAGTAGATTAAGTTTTTTAGTATAGATCGCATATAAACGTCTTTTTGTTAGCTGTCATTCAACCAGTTGCTTGATGAAGTATCAAAATATTAAGCACGTAATGCCACGAAAGAATTTTTCATCTGACGTGCCAATGACCGAGATCCGTTCCCGTAGATATCCTTCTACTCACACAAGTAGGCTGTCGGTAAACTGAATGTCATATCGGTTGGCCCAGTAGATAAATTTGCTTATTAGTAAATCGACAAATGATAGATGGACCAGCCTCCCGTCATTGTTTTCTGGTGTACTTTACCTCAGTCAATATTTTTTTTCTGGTTACGGCCCTGCTTCCGTCCCTAACTCAGAACTGGCTAAGATGCTCCTTTAACTATGATTTGTTTGTTTATCTGTTAGAGCTTTAAACGAGAGGAAACTTGAAAGCGCAAGTTTGTTTACAACTGTTAAGGTTGATGGAGTCACTTTGAAGTTACTTATAAATTTACATTCTTAAATGTTAATTTTGCCCTTTTTCTTTTAGTAATAGTAGTTATAATAATAATGATAATATTGCTATAGCGCAAATTAAGATATATATAGGATCAAATGCGCTTTACAATAAAATATAAAATCCGTAAAAAATAAAATCAAAATACACTTAGAACAATATTCAACCTATATCCTAACAAAGAAAGAATCGATTACAAAATGTTTAAAATTACCTCTGCTACTTAATTAAAATGAAACCTTATCTAATTATAAGAACTATTAAAAAACCCTATCTAATCAAAACTCCTAGTTAAAAGCTTAACTAAAAGGGTGAGTAAAGCTTCAGTCTTGAGATATCTTTATCTGATATACCATCCGGGTTCTTGTGCATGTTTTCTTGTCGTAGGGCTTGTGAGATATAAAGAGAGATCAGCACTGGCGGTTGTGCCTTAGTTGGAGGTAAGTGCATCCCTCATGTGTGTAATAAGACAGTGTAATTAACAGTGGCGGATCTAGGGGAGGAGCTCGTGGGACCCGCCCACCTTATTTTGGCGGAAAAAAGAAGATATCACAGAAGGAAGAAAAGCCGGCAGGGCAAGCAAAACAAAACCGCCCCCCCTCCCTTAGCTTAAGGTATGGATCCGCCACTGTAAATATATCTTATTAGATGTTTTGGTGTGTAGTATCGCTGTATATTTTTACGAGTTGTGCCGTATTTTGACGAGCCCGCAGGGCTGATCAAGTGCTGGTTTTCGATTAGATCGCGGGCTCATGTCAGGTTAACTTGCTGGCCGGGTTGTTCGGAAGTCGGTTAACGCTAACCCAAGATTATAAAAGTTAACCGAAGTATAATTTTTCTTGTATACAAATGTTTTTCACTGCTTTTTGTGTATTCTGAGGACCTTGAGATTATTGAAACTCAAAACAGAAGGCCAAACAACAGAAATGGAAAACTTCACCGTAAAGTTTCAAAACTCAACTTAAAATCCTCGCCTATCTTGGGTTAACTTAATCGGGCTTTGAACAACCCGGCCCAGGAGCTCCGCTCTTAGGCTTGGCTGAATGTATATATTACTTTTTTTTAAATGGTCACAGGATTTTATGATGAAAACAATCGGACTCCGGTCTCGCGTACGATTACAGAACAAATTTGACTCCACTTACTGCTTAGTGTTATGTTATGTGTTTACATCTGTTAATTAACCATGATTCGCCAAAGGCGAATAATTGTTTTAGTATAATTTTCAGAGGCGAGTATCAAGGACTTCAAAATAACGGTCTAAAACATAACAACACAGACGCAACGTTTTTGCTATTTCGAGTACGAGATTACAAGCACGACGTCGGATAATTCGTTGGTTTGAAATTTTATCACAGTTAATGAAACAACCATATGTCACGACTTCTTCTAGGTTTTTAACATTCGAGCTTCAAAAAGGTACGTCAGTTTATTTGCGGCTGCGACTTATCTGCAAGTTTTTACGGTATATATAACTTATAATGTTAAATAGGACATCAGGACTACAACATTACTGTGCTCTTTCTCATTTGTTTTTCTCTTAAAGAATGTTCGGAGACAGATTTCTGTTTCTTGTCTTTACTGGCCTTGTCTTGTTCCTGTTGGATTTCGTGTCAAGTCAGAGAAAGCGGAGTGCACGGAGTCGCTTTATAGGTAAGAAGACCATTTGAGCAGCAACGCAGGGCAATTACGTTTAATTTTTTTAGCGCCTGCTCATGTCTGGTGTTTCACGCTGACGGAAAACAACAGGCGGCAATCCGCTATTCATTAACCAACCAAACTCCTGGAACAAGTTGTTTGTATCAGTGAGTTGCCACCTACCGGAAAAACCAGTTTCTAAGCTTCATTATGGTGCTACTCTAGCAATATTCGAATAGTAATCGCTTCTAATCGCACGTGGCAATCATCTTTCTAGTGGGTGCAATAACAAACTGACCCAATACAGAACTTTCTGTACTTACCGTAGAACTCCGAAAGTAGATTGTGACATGAAAAACGCAATAGATTTCTTGTCAGTTTGCAATGATCGCAACATACATGGTACATAAAATACATAAAAGGATTGACAATGACGGATAGCTCACTGAAAGTTAAGTCTAAGAAAACAGATGACGAAATTAACGGTTAGAGCTGAACACGCTTCATAGCCTAAAAACACTTGGGTCTTCTAACTTTCTTGTTATCATAAATAACAAAATCGAAAATAATCGGAACATAGTGACGTTACTACAGCTGTTCTCTTAATTCCTTGAAATTGTGAAAAAAAAAAAAAAAAAAAATGGATAGCAGCAAGTGAAACTAAACTTGCTGCTATCCATTTTTTTGTTTTATTTTACAGGGCCCACATTGATATCAGTTTTATAACTAAAGTGGTTACTCCGTATAAATATTTTCAATTATTATTAAAACGATCTTAAAGCTAAATCTAAGGTGGAGTATTTGGATAGCAATTGTCTGTAAAAGTATATAGGGTAGGCTCAGTTCCCACTTCTGCGTAAGGCGCGTTCCCAGCAATTCTGTTAAGATAGTCTTGAAACCCGTCTATCCTGTTTTGGTAATGCCTATCATGATGATGCGTGTCTGTGGTGCTGGATCTTAGGGGAAGGGGCCGGGGTCAATCCGATGTTTAATCCTTTCAGGTTTTGTAATATCGCGTTTAAACGCAATAACAATATTCTTGATTTTCATTGCTTTCTGTAGATCACGAATGCGACCAGACTTTAGACTTTGAGAACAGGAATCAAAGAAAATGCTTTAAAGCTCACGGCGGTTCCAAAAGGTTGGTGTCCGATAACACGGCCAAAGGCGGGAATTACTCTCTTAAATGGGAGTACAATTCTTCGGGGACACCAGCAACACTAAATTACAGCCGACCATCAGCCTTTGCTATTGCGGGTGATAGTCTTCGCTCTGGAGGTATTAAAATCTGGCTTTACAAGGAAACGCGGTCTAATGGGAAGAAGATGGAAATTAACCTGATTGGTGGAAATAGGAGGGCTCCAGTACTACTGGGATCTTTTGAAGTGAGCTTGGAATTTACAGGTTGGAGGGGAATATGGGTGGCATACAAAGAGTGCGTGGAGTCTATGAGCGGCAATCAGGGCTTAACTGGAGTCAGTTTTGTGTTACGCCATGCGGATACCATCTACATCGATTTGTTAAATTTTGTGGATCGTATGTCCTTTCAATCTCGAGATAAAATAGTTCCACCCTTGAGAAAAACATTGTACACGAAAAAGCACTCTTTTCAACAATCATATCGATGGAGTAAATTTATGCAGAATACAATTACTGATCTTCGCCACATTGTTATCAGTCCATTAAAAAACTTAAGTCTGAATCACATCAAGAGTCGCCTGAGAAACTTTTATTTTAATGAAACTAGAACCAGTTATGACGATGACAGTGATTATTTGATGGAACGATGGAAGTCAATTAATATCAATATAGACAAGGCCAATAAAGAATACGACAGGCTTGGTCTTAAGTTTACGACGGTGCAAGGGAGTAAGACAGTGGTACGCGGTCCTCCTTTGTTTTGCCGTAGGAGTGTAATGGGAACAAGAACTTATTCCACGACAGATCCAAAAAGGAAGTTTAGCTTTGTTATGGATAAAATTATGTTTCCTTTGGCACTCGAATTTTACCTCAAGTCCCGTCAAAATGAGCTTTTTGAGACAGTGAAGAGAGAAACTCCTCGCTTGAACTCGGCTAATTTAAGTCAAGCACTCCAAAAAATTTGTGGAAATCGCCGAAACAGACAAAAAGAGTTTGAAGATTACCTTAACGGAATAGCTGGGAACCCGCCATACAGAGAGCTACACGTACGTCGTTCGTTAGATTATATAAACAAAGTTCGTCTTCAAAGGATCATAAATCTCCTGGATTATGTGGAAGACCAAGGTTGGGCAGATGGAAGTGCCCTCGGTTCCTTGGATCACGAGATGAATCGAGATGGTGGTGGATTTATGCAGACCCTTTTTTTCCTAAACGAATCTTTGTATGCGAATCCTGCAAACAAGACCAGACTGTTAAAGTTAATAAACACAGCAAAATGGTACAATGACTTTGGCGAAGTGTATCAAACGCCTCGCTTTGAGTACAACGGAACAACAGCAGACAAAATGATTACTATGATGCTATTTCGCCTGATGATAGTGTTGATTATGCCCACTGGTACGGAAGACGAGATCAAGGCAAGACAAAGGGATATGGATGCCTTGAAGAAATGGATGGATAGCGCTTTGACAATCAACAAAGCATTCGGAGGAGTAATCAAACCTGACTATACCGGTTTTCATCACATGGCATTCTACGGATCTGCATACATACCCCAGGCGTTACATACGGCAGCTCTTGTACAGTTCCTACTGGAAGGAACTGAATTTGAGTTATCCTTCACAGCAAAACGAAATTTGCAAGAGGGGCTTAAAACCCTGCGGGTGATAGCCGTGAAATATTCTACGCCAAGTAGTGTTGGAGGTCGTTTTCCCGACTTCTCTAAGGCAGTTCTGGCCCAAATACTTCCTGCATATGCTTACATTAGCATTTCTTATCCTGGGACGCTGAGCAAACCGCCGACGCCTGGAATTACCGTTTCTGACCTGACTGGGGATGCGAAAATATTTCTACGCTTATATCAGACTTCGGACGACACAGTAAAGAAGTACCTAACTGACGGAAAAATCCACACAGGAAAGACGTACATGAACACCTTGGGATCTGTGGACATAATGAAGTCCGTAAGTTTATTACAAGATTTGTTTTAGATTAAGTGCGTGTTACGTGAATTGAAATTTAAATTGAAGTGAAATTTCATTTAGAACTTACAAAACCAAACTCAAATGCTAATTGGAAATTTGAGGCTCCACAGAATCGTCTGCAATACAAAGGAAAAATGTATATTTTTTAAGCTCAGCTGTCCTGAACCGAGCTCACTACTCGCTAAATTTCTTAGTGTTTTACACGTGGAGAAGTGATATTCTGTGTTCACAACGTACACAGTAAAGCCAGTGTGAAAAAGTGAGTGACTGACTCATCCAGCTGTGGGCATGATCTTTAAAAACGCGCGCCCGTATAGCTGGTTTTCACATGACGTCACTAAAATTTGAACTACAAAACTATTGATCTTTCTGAGATTTTTACNATTTCATAAATTTTTTATAGTTTTGTAAATCTGTCGTTCTCAAAACATATTGTATATGTCTCTGTAATAATAACTATCACAAAAATAATAGTAAATCTCCATTGTTACAGGTTTATGACAGGGCTCTTTCAAAGAATTTTTTTGCTGAACCATCTCCGGAAGGCCATTGGTCGAAGAATTTTGCAGCCCTCTCTATTCATCGTCGCAAAGATTGGGCCGTGACAGTGAAGGGCTTTAACAGGTTTGTCTGGGACTTTGAAGGTACGCAAAAGGAAAATGCCCATGGTATCTTTCAAAGTCATGGCGCAATGCTAATAGCGAACAGTGAGGAGTCACTAAAGGCACATAACGTAAGTGAGGGATGGGACTGGACAAAAATTCCTGGCGCCACTACAATGAACCTCACCCTCCAGGAAACACTGCTGAATGAAGCAAGACATTTTAGTCCACAGTCTCATGCTGGAGGAGTTACCTTCAAAGGACCAGAGCCTTTTTCGGACGGAGCGTTTGGTATGGACCTCCATCAACCGGATTACCAATTCTTAAACAGAAATCCCCATCCCAATATTAAACTTTCTTTTAAGAAGTCTGTTTTCTTTTATCAAAACTTGTTAGTCTGCCTAGGCAGCAACATCACCGTACAGAACGGTGGCGACAGGGTGGCACAAACAACACTTTTTCAGGACAGGTTGCAGAATGCAAGTTCAGCTCCAGCCCAGGTTGAGAGAAAGGATAAAACTGGGAAGATTGATTACATTTCTATTGTTGATACTAAAGGGAACAGCTACTTCATTCCACGGTCGAGTGTTTCAAGTCTGAAATTTCTATCTTCAAACCAAACATCGCAAACTCCGTCAACTAAACCGTCAGTTGGTTATTACGCTACTGCCTGGCTTGAGCACAGGTCCCCGAACGGCTACTACGAGTACGCAGTTTATGTTAATACACCATCTTATCCACAACCTGCAGACGTCTTCTGGGAATATCACAATAGATACCCTTATGAAAAGCCATACAAAGTTCTAAAGCAGGATCACGAAGCTCACGTGGTGAAATTTGAGGTGACACCAGCACGCTGGACATGGCTAGAGCCCTTCTATAGTTACGTCATATTTATGTCCAAACCAACTCTTCCCGTTGGTCCAATCACAGAAGTCACCAATCAATCTCGCATTATGATAGACGAGGATGACATGTACGTCTATTTAAGCATCAGCTATCCTGACTTGAATTTCCCAGTTTCAAACGAATTGAAAGCCTTAAGAGATATAGGAGATACCGAGATGTTCTACATGGAAAGCAAGGAGGTCGAAGTGAACGTGACACTAACAACAAACGTGAACAAGGTCGTTCAGACAGTGGTACATGGATTGCCAGATGGTCATGGCTACGTCCCAGAAGTTCGAGTGGAACCTTTATCTTCTCATGGCTCACCCAAGCGAAACAAAATTGTCTTCGCCAACCTTAAGAATGGATTCAGCGTTGAAATCAAGTTAAGTAAATAAGGTCGAGTTGTACTAAATGCACTTGAAGAAACACGAAAATGACTTTCTCTGAGAAGTTATTGATTTGCATATGGACACTGTAGGGCATCGTAAGAGAAGATGTATGGCACAGCCGTTAAACATAAATTAATTTGAATTATGCATAAATATGTAATGGGCCCCATCCTTAAACTGCTGATTGCAACAATGACAAACAAGAAAGGCTATTAAAGGCTATTGACGTTAAATTGCTGTTTTTTCTTTTCATTTAATTTGATTAATACAATATGAGAATGAGCGAAGGTACTTAGTCACGAGCAGTCACGATTGGTCCAAGCAGGCTCTCGATTCGTACTGGCGTCCATGCACCACATGAACACGAAACGTTTTGGTTGAGGAAATCTCCTGGGCTAGATTTTGGGAGTCCGGTGGACGTCCTTACACCACGGGGTCACAAAACGGCTAAAAATTCCCTGGATAGGCCTCAGTCTCTAAACTCAATAAATTCTGAAAGATCCCAGGCGTCCCTCCTTGTTTTGCGCCTGGTGCACGTGGGGTTAGGGGTCTGTTGCACTCGAAAAGGCGGACTCTCCTCGCTTCCAGACCTAACCATCAGGCGTCAACGATGAAATGCCACATCGCCTAGTGACAAGCCAGGAAAGATCCCATTACATAAAACACAAAATTGTACACGCAGGCGGCGACTACAAGTAAATTGATTGACCGCTTTATCGGATAGCTGAGTTGGTAGAGCACTGCACCGGTATCGCAGAGGTCATGGGTTCTGTAATGTTAGGTAGATAGGCGAGTACGAGACAGAACTAAACGCAACAACAACACATTTAATCGAGCAACATGGCTGCAAGCCATGGCATGTCGCAAGGACCTCTGGGAAACAATGACCTACGTAATGGCTTACATCACAGGTTCGAATCCCGTTCAGGCCTGCATTTTTTTTTTCGGGCTTTAATTTCACAACTGCTTAAGTCGTGTGGATAACTGCGATGATCAATCATGTCTTCATATTTTTCTCCGAAGTTCAAATATATGCCCTTTATATATTCATCTTCATTTGTAAACCTATAGGCACTTGCCAAAATAACTATATTTTCTCGCCTGGTTCCTGAATGCAGTTTAAATTTGTTTGGTTGTTAACAGTGTGGTTGACGCGAAACGCGCAGGCGGCGGGGCGTTTTGAAACATGAGTGGGGGGGGGAGTGCTCAGCGTTAAGCCAAGCGCATAACTCTACTCCAAAATGTCTTTTGCATTGTTTGTTTGCACAAACAAACTTCTTTGCGATGTCTACAGCGTTTAACGTGTCCATAATAGACAATGCAGGAAGAGGCAGTTGTTTAAGCGATCCTGCTTCATGGTGCTTCTAACGCAGGTTTTTAGTCTTCACAGGGCAGAAACAGTGAGCTGGGAAGTCGTCGATGCCACTGACAGGTAATATCAAATACAATCTTAACAATTTGTGAACCTCTCCTAGACGCGTTTTGGTGACAGGAGGTTTGTTGAGAGCCGTCGCAATGGTTCTTGTATTTGTAACCTGGCTTACTTCGAGCAGATCACGAAACGAAATATTTTGTCAAATCAATTTTATGCTGCGCTACCGATATTTTCGGCACCGAAACGTGGGGACTGAGCCCCCCAAATTTTTGTTTGGGGGGCCTATAACCTCCCTGGTCCGCTGCCGATGGAACAGATTGATCGGGGCTAACAGAGGTTTGGAAAATTGGCAAAGTATTTCTGAGAGCGAGAGACCTCTCGATTTGTTAACTTCACAGCGCTATACACCTTGATGCATATGAGTGCAATGTTCGCACGCTACATCTCACTGAGCCGAACGGACAAACGTCAGTACGAAATACCTGTATTGCTTTTCACCTCCAATCCCATGTGCAAAGTCCTTTCATATTAAACGATAATAGGTATGAGCCCAAAAATGCTGCAAGAGCCGTTTAAATAGTCAAAGTGGCTATGAGCAACTCAACTTGTAAAATGTCGAAAATGGATCGTCTGTAAACAGTGGCAATTTTGATGCCACCGACTTGAGCTTTTAATCCGTAGGTTAAGTTAAAGTTAAAGCCCACTGGCATTGATAAGAAATGGTGCAAAACGCAACGGTAAGAGAATACACGAAGAGATGTGACTCCGTTGAAAACATTCATGAAGTTATCGTTGATCCTCGTCCGAGAGACCGAAACAGTTATAAAGTACCGCTTCTTGTGCCATCAGCGGCGGATCTAGGGGAGGGGCCCGCCCCCCCCTTATTTTTGGTAAAAAAAGAAGAAATCANGAAAACATTCATGAAGTTATCGTTGATCCTCGTCCGAGAGACCGAAACAGTTATAAAGTACCGCTTCTTGTGCCATCAGCGGCGGATCTAGGGGAGGGGCCCGCCCCCCCTTATTTTTGGTAAAAAAAGAAGAAATCACAGAAGGAAAAGAAGCCGGCAAAGCAAAACAAAACCGCCCCCCCATCCCACCTTAGCTCAAGGTCTGGATCCGCCACTGGCCATCGCCAAAGCAGGCAATAATTCTCATTTTCATTCCTATTTTTTTCGTTCTTTATTTTCCCAGCCAGTATCAATGTAATTTTTTTCTTTCTTTGTTACCTTTTGAGATATCTTAAAAGTTAAAAAAATGTGTCCAACGTAGAGTCACTATACACAAGGACAGTACCGCGTCTCGTCCGCTTAACAAAGTTAAGCCCTGTTCGGTGGGTTTCCTACTTGGCTGAGTGACCAAATACGAATACCTCGTGTTGTAACTTCTTTTCTTTTCTTTTTTTCCCCTTTCCTTGCCAAGGCGATATTAAAGACTGCAGAACTCCCAGCCTTGTGTAATGTTTTTTCTGCTATTTATCGCCTATTTGTTCAGATCATTTCGCCATGTCAGCATTTATGTGTATTTATTTACAATACCGTATAAATGAATATCGAAACGCGTCCTCAATGCTCTTGTCTTTTTATAATCTAAAACTTTTAATCACGACTTGAATCATTCGAAAAATCATACAGCTCATCAATTTATCAATATCGTCTTTTCCGGCAATCGAGTTAAGTTAAACCTGTATGAGCGGACACCTTCTGGATGAGCTATTTACATGATTACATGTAAGATATTGAGTACTTGTGTCACAAATTCAAAGAATAACTAGTATTAGTGAATTCTACTAGTATACTAATGCAAATGCTGCAATCTGATTGGTTTAGCTACTCGTATACTATCAGCCATTAGAATGCAGTAGCTGTTGGTCGTCCAAGAAATGCGACGTTTCTATCGTTTTTCCGAAGTTTTGGAAGAAAGTTTAGACGTAAATGGATAATTATATTCCTGATAAGACAAAAGAAGGACATAAACGGATTCTTGAACTTAAAAACTTTAAATTATTGAAAAACCGATGCGCACGCTTAAACAACTCCAAATTTACCAAGGAAAATTCAATACGTGCGATTTTGTTAAAGCGTAAAGTTCAATAATGCGTCGAAAAATATTTGGAAACCATTATTTGCGTTAATTAAAGTTAGAATTTTATTAACTATCGCCTCATAGAAATCTCGAGCTCATAATCTAATTGTTAATTAGCATATACCACACAAGTGAATAGCACGCTGATTGGCTAGCTCGGAGGTGATTAGCCAAGCAGCTGAAGAAAATCAAAAAGGCTTCCCGTTTCAAATAATGTTACTCTTAAACAAATAAAGTTACTCTTTGGTCCGCTAGTTATTCAGCTTGTGTGGTATATACTAAAAAAAATATTCACCTCAGTGTCGGTGAAGGTGGTGGGTATTTACCTCCACTTAATAGTAATAATAATAATAATAATAATAATAATAAT